ATTCTGTGATTCTATGATTATTATTCTCACAGAATCTTCCAAGACAATATGAAAACTGCATGAGAGTAGGTGGAAAGTATTTAAAGGAATATGGGTTTGGTTTTTCTTCTTCCCTGCACTCACTGTGGAGGGGGAAATAGTCCATGGAAGTGAGATTGTATAATCTCCCCCAGAGCCACCCCAAAATAACTTTCTTAGCATAAGTCCCCATCTGCATATTACATACGCTTGTTAGACATATACGGCTTCTAGCTGACATTGGCCAGAAGACAACACTGCATGGAGTAGTTTGTGCTTTGGCTCCCCACCACATGCTCACAGCTCCGCACTTCATCAGTGGGCTTTGGCGAGTAGACCTCACTTTGTGTTCATTTTTGACACCACAGCACTTTCAAATCAATCACATACACACTTATCTGGTGACAGGACGGAAACCCCTCTTTTCTCATTCAAGCCATTATTCCGTAGAAGATACTGATGCAGACACCATTTCAGCTGGAGATGTTAAGAGAACCTCAGAGTTATATCCAAAACTTTGCACCTGAATCATTTTAGATTTCTCTCTTTATTAGTAAATCATCTCCCACAGTTAAAAGGATCCTATATATTTTTTGTTAATGCTTGGTACACTGAAACATGCGATGAAATATGAGAAATGTAAATCAGTTTGTAGTAAGAGACCATGCCCAGTACCTATTTAGTGATATTTTTACTCCAGATTCTTATTCTTATCACTAGAAGCTCTGAAATTTTAAAGCCTTCTCATAATTATTCTTCTGCATGCTTTAGAAAAACTCAAAATATTTAATATAAAATTGTAGTCTTCAATCTCTCTTGCTTTCCTCAGAACAAGAAAATGGTAAGAATTAGGCTAGACAACTGGTTTTAATTTAAGTTAATAGTTTGTGTTTCAAGGAGAAATCCATGTCTCTGGCTAACTTTGTGATTTCATATGACCAGAAAGGAAGAAAACTGAAATTATGTTCCTACAAATCCTCAGTGCAAGTACCCAAATTAGTACTGCAAATTAAATACACATTTATTTTGAAATGTATTGCAAGAACTCCTAGCACCATTTTTGGCCTTCTGGGGTAACACACTAATAGCGGCCAACAGACCAATAACTGTTCAATGACTTCCATGATGACATTCTCATTATGGCCCAGATTTTGATATCATTAATCAAGCACCATCTTATTCCATGAATAGTCATCCCTCTGACACTGGCTGTCCAAATAAGGACCTATTTAGTGCAAGTAAGTCTAATACATTTGGCATTAAGTCAGAATAGGCTATGCAGACAGAAACTTTCAAGTTCACATGCTAAAAATCATGTTTAAGCACAGTTCTAGAGTATACTAAGTGCCAGGAATGTCCTTTGGGAATGTCCTTTGTTATTAAAGAAGTGTTAAGAGCCCTCATTACAAGAAAAAGGCCATAACTTGCAGAATCAGCCTTTGTGGACAGACCACTCAGAAATTCAGCATAAACTTAAATCTTGAACTTTAAGTCTTCTATCAATGTATAAATGAGTTACAATACAACAAAAAAACCCAACTCCACAGGATCTAGTTTACTGAAATATTCACTTCCCAGTAATTTCCACTGACATTTTATCTAATTTTTCTGTCCTCTGTGGATGAGCCATTCAAAGGTGCAATCTCACTGATGCTATGTAACTTCAAACAAGCTCTCCATTTGAAATTAACCTTTGTTCTTAGAGAAACTGCTTCTGTTATATAGACAAAGCCACCTTGGCTCCTTAGCCCCATCTTAAAAAGAAAGTCTGGCTCAGAGTCTGAGGTTTCTATGAAGGCACTGAAGAATAATTTATCCTGCACTATACCATGATTTGGTACTATGTCTTCCTAACATGCACCTGTTTTTCTTCATCTAAACAGAATAAATTAACTTCTCTGCATGTCATTATAACATGACAAGAAAATATTTTAGAACATTTTTATAAATGTGCACTCTGAGAATCATTTAGCTAATGATAAGGTCAAAAAACCTGGCCTTTGGGACGGACAGTAATGGAAGTCGCAGGAACCTTTGCCTCCCGCAGAGTTTCATTCTGAACCTGCACTCATTGCTATGAGCTTTCTGGTACCATACAACAGGCTTTGTAATGGTGTTGAAGAGTTTCAATGGATCACATAGGTGAAGCGGTCAATTTGTCTTCAAGTCAGACCTACAAGCCCTTGCAGGTCTTAACACTATAAAAGGTAATTTATTGTTACTGTAATGGCTGATCATTAATGGACTCAGCAGAAAACTACACTGCATTACAATAAAATATGTGTTTATATGTGTATAACTCTAATGACAGTCATTACAAGACCTACAAGTCCTTGTAGGTCTTTAACGCTTGTCCCAGACTATGGAGCCTTTAAAATAAAGGCTGAAACTGTGCATTTGTTTTAATCAGTTTCCCACAGGAAGCTACTATGCAAGGAAGAAGGTAAAAGGAATGTGCTTATTGTTACCTGGGTTGATAGACCAAATCTCCCCAATATTCTTTGCTAGTTTATATTTCTTAAACACTAAAGGTTTCAGATCCAAGCAGATCACATTACTGCAGTCCAGCTGATAGGCCATAAATACATGTGTATGTTTAAAAAGATCATCATCACCCACAACAATAGGTGAGAAATGTGTAGCTATCCAGAGAGGAAAGCCAGCTCATAAATTTTGGTAAATGAAACCTGGTAACAAAGAAGAATCTATTGATGTTCATGAGAAATTGAAAACCTATGTATGTGCATCCTCACCAAAGAAAACTGCACAGTTGCTGTAACCTTTTTGAACCTCATGGCCTGGTTCCAGGTTGTTCTGAGCACAGAATATTAGCCTCAGTGAAACATGCTTGAGTATTGAGGTTTTTTTTATTTTTAAAAGCTCAGTGAGAATATTTGACCCTAAGAAATTGCTGGCTCAGATGCACCCAGGATAAGCTTCTCCATATTAGTTACGCTTCTCTGTTCTTAAGAGGAAAAGGAACAAGGCAGTCCTCTTCATCCAGGAATGATACAGATTAATCAGAACTTCTTTTTGTAAGCTAGGAAACTTAATTTGAATGCCTTCATGCAGGATGATTTAAAATTCAATCCCATCAAGGATTGATGGAGGACCAGTGTTATGAACTTGGAGTGTTCAGATGTGCTGCTCACTGACAGATACAGATGGAGCATAAGTAATATTAAGACAGTGCAGAGCACTAACAAAATCCTACCACTTAATTTCCAGAGTTCCCAAGCTCATGTTTTTTGAGTCTTTGCAAGACTTGTATTCCTTCTATTTTATAACTGTCCAAGGTGAACATAGTCTTAGGCAGATCCTCAGCTACTAATGGTGAAAGAAAAACACTGATTTCAGGGACTAAAGTCTCTATAAGTCATCACCAGGAGAAAACTAGACATATTCTAATTTGTTTCTGCTCTAACATATTATACAAACAAACACTGAGCACCGTACTTTTGCAATTGCTCACTCAGAGCCATGGCTAATTTATTGTTCTGATGACTTCAACACTAAAATGTGTACCCATCAAGGGTCAGCCCAGAAGTCATTTAATTAGGAACTATAAATTCTATAGAAACTACAAGGTTTTTTTAGAAAGGAACAATGAAATTGGTATGGAATAAAAACCTGTCAAGACAGAAGCAGTGTGACACACAGACCACTACAGTAAACGGAAAACGTACTTAGGTTGCAAAGTATTTCTGTACCACAATGAAGTTCCCATGTGCATACCCAGCACAAAGCCAAAAAAAATAGTCTACAGGACATGAAAGGCTATTTCTGCATTTATATTTTAAGTAGAAATATTTAACTAGTGATAGTCATGCCAAAGCATAAGGATATCTCATGGCTGGAACGTACCTATAGGCCCACCGCAATCATATAGTTAAATTCACTTCCAGAAGAGAGATTATAAGAAATTATTGTAACATCCTATAATGAGGAGATTCATCCATGTTAGAACTGCTCAACTGCAGAAAAAAATAACCATATTTTTCTTTTCACCAAACTCTGTTGAATAAGGGCCAATCATAGAGCCTAACCAAGGGTCACGGGGTACCGTGGGCTTCACAACACGATCCATGGCTCATAGTCACCATGTGACAGAATCCTAATCACTTTGCTGAATTAGAACCACTTGCTTAGCAGCTTTTGCAAAGACTATAGTTGTACTAAGGAATTGCAAAGAATTTTACTAAAGAACTTCCAAATTCCTCCCTGGAAAGTTCTTGTTTGCTTGTTTCTTTTTGATGCTGAGATGCCTCTTTTTAAAAAGATATTATTAAACTTGAATTGCAATTAAATATCTGTCTAATTTCATGCCATGGACACATAAAGACCTTAATTACATACTTTCTGAACTATAATACAATACTATACCATCTTTATATACGTATTGTATACATAGTTTCTCAAAAATTAAATGCATTTCTTTGAAAATCTTTTTATAACATTCAAAAAATAAGATGTTTCAACTTTTGTGAGATCTACCGCACTAACTATAGCAACTTTAAACCTGACTGTCTCTTTGTAGACTCCACATTCGCCTTTAATTAAGGTCTGCCAGACCACAAACTGTAGGTTCCCTTCATTGAGCAATTCTCTTCAGATGCAGAACAGCCAAAACTTATTTTACACAGAATTTTGTATTCGTTTGCTTTCCCACATCACAATCTGCAGTCATTTTAACATTTTGCAGTGCAAAGTAAATATGGACCTAACTTACCTTCCATGTGTTCCACATAGCAATACACATCGTAAGTTTCATTAGGAAAACGGCGCCCGTATGTTCTGACTCCTTTCTTTCCCATTTTATCTCCAAAGCAGCCAATTCTTGGATGTCTAATTGGATACCTGAAATGCAGCATGCTCATATTTATTATTATGATAAGTCACCATTTTACGGCTGTACAGGCTAAGCGTATCAATTTGGGGAAACTGTGTCAAGGGATCTTTTAAATGTCTCACCTAACAGTCTGGTCAGACAACCAGCCAGCATCACATTGCTCAAACCCATCTTCATAGGCTGCTTTCAGCTGTTCTGGGCTTGCTATGACAGCACCATTGTCCATACAAGTCTGCTGAGCTTGCGTAAAATTCAGAGTATACCTGCTGGTTGCTGCACGATAGTGAAATACAACACCTGAAGAGACAAAAAACTTACATTAGCGACACATTTTGCATTGTTTCTGCAACCATCATCATACTGTAACTTTACATAGTTACTGTTACAACGCCAAAAACAGATGGGTACAATAAAAAGAGTAAAGGCTAAAAGACATGCTATCATATAAATGGTGTCTCCCCCTCTAGTGGCTGTTACCAGTAATTATATAAACCTTTCGTTATTAATAGTTGGTGAAATTATATTCAATGTACACACAGAAAAAAAAGTAATTAAGACATCTAGGCATTTTCACTGTGGTATTACAGAAAATGGAGATCAAAAGGGAGCATGAATGCTAAAATATGATAAAATGATATCACATAGTTACCCCGAATCCTCCAGTTACAAGGTCTGGGTGGCTAGTTGTATTGCAGGCAAGGTTGCTATGTTAACAGCACTACCTGGCATGTTGTCTTACTGGCCTACACAACACATCCAATTACAACTCAAACTGCACAACCAGACAAGACTAAGCACATCTGATCCTTGGAAGAAGAGGGCTTAAAAACAGGCTTTCAGAAAGAGCCAGCTGACACTAGCTGATCTGTCTAGAAGCCACATTCTATTTTCTATATATACATAATCTGGCAACAGCTGCACATGCACACCTAAAACAAACTATAAAGGGCACTCTGAATGGCAGAAAACAGATATTCCACCTTGCAAAATCACTTCCCCCCTATTGTCAGTGTCTTTTACAGTTTAGCATCAATACGATGTCCCCTGGTGATCTCTGAAAAGTAACATTCAACCTCACTTATTGCACTCTAAAATCTTCAGAAGCATTGCAACACCATAAAACATCCACTACACAGAATGGCTACACAGCAAGAAAAATAAACCATAAAATATTCCTTTTCTCTGATGATTTTATTAGAGTACTTCGTGATGAGGAAATTACATACTGTAATACAGTTTGGGAAAACGGTGGTGTTGTAGCAATAACGAATTTACAAGCCTTTGTTATTATAGCATTGTTAAAAGATAGAATAAGTCCGTGAACTAATGAATAAATAGAAATAAGGGTAACTTAGCAAAATATTGATTCAAGAGTTTCCAACATATTTAGAAATACTTTTTCTCATGAAGTCAAATTCAGTAAAATTTTGTCACTTATTAAAGGCCAGGATATGGCAAATAAGTATTTTTCTTCTTGTTGTGATTCACCGAGAAGGTTTCTGAAATTAAAATAGAATATATTATCTGAAACCTACTCACAGGTAGGTTAAACCTCAAACATCAGACACCGATTTTATCAACGCTACTACCAGAGAAAGAGGAAACAGAAGAAAAAATGCTAGGAAACCCCACATTTCATCATTTAATATGGAGTCACACACCAGCTGCAGCCACTAACTGGAAGCTTACAGACCACTAGCATCCCCATAAAATGCTTCTGCAGAACTGCTGACAGAACCCAATGGGAGCGGTGCTTCTTCCAAGCAACGACGTAATTTCAGCTTCATATGGACACAAGAATTGTTTGGCAACAGTGACAAGTGAAGAATACACCCTGAAAAATAATGGCTATGTTTATATTACTAAATTAAATATTCCAGGTGCCTGCAATTCAGTCATTAAGACTGATAAATCGTTAGATTAGTTCACTGCATTATTTGGCCCAGGCCCCGTAACACCCTTCCAAACAACTTCCAGACTTCAGGAGGTAGCAAAGACCAGGGACAACTTCCAATATACATGTTCATCCTGTGCGGGGAGACACAGAAGCGTAACAGCACGGATGGGGGCCACACCACTGCAGACAGGCTGAAGCACAGCCTCAAGCACATTTCCTTATTGACGTGAACTGTCTGGACCAGGAGGGATTGAAAGGGATTGTCAGAGAGCTAACTTTACTAGCTCCTCTGCCCCTGCACTTTCTCTGTTACAGGAACATTCTCCATTGCCTGGCAAGGACAAAATTACATACCATTTACACGGTCTTAAGTTGTGCAAAACTTTTTTTATACACATAGGTATATATTTTGATATATGTGCATGTGTGCACATTTTGGCTTTGTGTACACTAAACAACACATTCCTTTACCACATGTTCAACACAGAGCACTACCTCACAGCATAAAAAGAGTTAGGCAAGAACAACTAATTTTGCAATTTAAAAGCTTAAACAAAATTATTATTTGGACTTTTTTTTTAAAAAAAAGCACTATAGTATACAATAAAATATTTATTTTAATGTATTCAGAATTTAGTAACATCGGTTAACACTGTCAGCAAGTTACCTGATGGTATAAATGAGCATTACTATATTCAGTGGTACAGCACCAAGTAAAACTGTGAGTTCAAGTGACCTGGTTGGTGTTCTGGGTCTAGAAATAAGAAATCATCAAGTTTTACAGAGCTCCTAACTGAAGCACATAAAACATTTACCTTGAATCCAAAGTATGAATCCATAATATTCACAAGCTGGGCATCTGGCTTTACTACATGTTCTTGTTAAATATATGCAAATATTTTAAACTTTTTTTTTTTTTTGGTAGCATTGTTGTTTCCATAGCATACAATATTTGACACTGATTCTGTAACTCAGGGTCAAAGTAGAAGCACCCAAGTAGATTAAGCATTTTTTTCATTCAATTTTTTGTTCTAATCTTAATTAAAATGTATTTTATATGAGTTCAGATTAATTGCCTCTTTTTTTGTTGGGCAATTTGGTTTTGCTTTGTTTTGGTTTTTTGTCATGGCTTTACTGATGCTATATGACTTCAGCTGAGCACAAGAGCCTTGCTCCTCAGTACAACCACAAAAAGGTTCATTAACTTAGCAGGAGATGGCAACATATTTCCCTCAACTTGTATTTTTTATAAAGCTTCCTACTGATAAAACGCACGAGCATATTCTCCACAACCAGCTATCTCACCTCTTCTTTCTTCTGTCTTGGAAGCAACAACTGGCCTTCCTATCTGGTATAAGTTTGGGATCCCTGTGATACCTGAATAAGGAAGGACTAAAGAGTTAATTTCACTGCCAATTTAAAGTAGCTTTTGCAGTGCTGAGAAGAGCCTTCGGTCATTTGTAAATCCTGGAAAGGAACTTGGAGAATGCTTTGTTCTCCTCACCCTGATCCAAAAGGTAAACTTCACCTATTCTTAGAGTTGAAGGCTCTTCCATTTCCAGTGAGGAGCTAATGGACATAAAAGAGCCTCCAAGATGAATGGGAAGGAGGACGTCAGTATGTATAAGCCTGTGCAACAGCTGCAATAATTAGAAGACCCCCTGGGGCTAAGAAGATTAAAGTGCGGGACTTTGGTTGTTTCAGTTAGACAGAGAGACGGGCTAAATCCATTGTCCGAGTTTTTGCACTTTAAAACATTTGTAAAGGATTTTTTCTCTTTGTCTATTTCCTCTGTGACAGAAAAGGCAAGAAAGGAGTTGTCCTAGGAACGTATAAAGCAACTGGAAAACAGACTACAGCAGTATAATGTTGTCACTGAACATCTGGCAAACAAAGTCAGTGTAATTACAGGAAGGAGTAGCAGCATCTGCAAGAAAAAGCATTCTCAGGAAAGTAATTTGTAGCATCCAAAATTCACTTTTGAAAGAGAGAATCTCTTTTAATCATTTATCTCTGCCTTAGAAAATGAAAACAAAGTATTTCACTTCTAACAGACTATGACTTCCACGGGTAAGACCCTAGTTCTGTGGTTGCAACCTTTGGGTTGCAACTTTATTACTTGCCAGGGTATCAGTGCAGCAAAACCTCGTGGGACTGCAGGGGAACGGCTCCTGGTATGGCTAATAGGTTACAGTTCGCTTACACTAGCAAGCTCACACTGCTGCAACCTGCCCTCCTGGAGTCACACAAATCCTGAATTTCAGAAGCTGTCTCACACAGCAAAGAACATCTAAAGAGAAAACAGTATGATGGCAGTGGTTGTTATTCTGTTAATTTTTACGTTCAAACCTTTACCACTGGGGTGCAGACCCCTGAAAAAACACCCAACCCACTGCCAAAGCTAACGCGCAGTTTGGTGATCCTCTCTGTCTTTAATGCAGAAGACGATTTACATCACAAACACACGCCAAAATAGAGGTTACAGGACTGAGCATTCTATGAAAGGAAGGAACAGGGCTGCATTTTCAGCTTCCTGCATGAATAATTCATCAGCGCTCGTCAGTCGAGGTCTTGCACCCACCTTCTGACCTCTGTATCTTAGGCTTTGGCAATCTGAGAAGCACAGGCTGGCCTTTCCTCGCAGGAGCTCCCTTGCACTGTTCCTCGGGAAATTCTCATGGTGGGGAGATGAACGTGCACACCGGCACCTCTGCTCGTCAGCCCAGTGCTTCCTGCTCTCCAGAGACAGAGCCTGCTTGCACTAACTCGCATATTACTCCTCCGTGAAAAATCTTTGCACTCATCCAGAGAGAGCAACGCAGCTGCATGCAGGTGTACATGAGCTACTCTGACCAAACTGGTCCAGATAAGGAAAGCCATTGACGATGAGTTTAATGGTATTTTTCTCAGGGGAAGGACTTCTTTACTACGTCTGTATTAATATCTGAACACACAGTGGGGTCACCTGGCCCACCCGGTTATCTCTGCACAGCAACATACTAGGTCACACAAGTGTCCACTGAGGCCAAGGCACTGCTACTTAAGTTAAAATTACTTTTAAAAAACCATACAGCCTCTCAGAACTGTTCTCATACAGGGAAATGGCCAACATCCCGAAACAGGTTTAGCCATTAGTACTGGCCCCTCTGCCCTACCATTCTGCGTATGAAGGCATGCCACATGCTCCTGGTCTCAGACATCTCCCACCCAAGGTCCTCAATCCAGCCTGACGCAGAAATCCCACCAGCCTGCTCATCAGCTGCCAAGTTCCCACTCCCTACGTGAGGGAGTGGGCAGCTTGATCAGAACATTTGCTTCCCTGTTGCTGACGTGCATTGCACACAGACCCTGGGGCTTTCTCACCCGGAAATAAATGTCTCTCTCCCAACCTTTGATGACC